CACTACCTTTTGTTTCCTGCCTTAGCAATCATGGATGGAGCTTCCATCAGCTTAAGTCCCTAAGCAGAGCCCTCCTGCAGACCTCCACTACACATGTAGCATAACCAAGAAGTAAACTCTTGTTATATTAAGTACCTGAGATTTATGGCCCATTGTTACTGTTAGAAAGATCATGATAAAATCCTCTAAAAAAATCATCATGGCCAATGTTCAAATTTCCTCTTGTATCAACACACATTCGGAACATCTCTAGGATAATTTGTAGAAAGGGGTGTGATCTTGGATGAGTTAATTTCTGGGCCTCAATTTCTTCATCTACAAAATGGGAATGATACCCTAATACCTCATAGGATTGTTCTGATTTAAATACATTTATATGTATAGCACTCAGAACAGTGTTCTAGTACACAGGAGCTATATGTGTTTGTCATTATTATTAAATACCTACCAAGTTTGCTGTAGATTCAGTTGTGCTGTAAACACCTGAAGTTTCATAGTCTTGTTCTAGAGGATATAGACAAAGTAAAAATAATGAGCACTATTCTATAGTTTGAAATTTTATAAATAATGAATATCAGATTTTACCTAGATCTCACTGACCTGAAGGATAAATATATTCTTCATGATATCCCCCTAGAAAAAAAAGACAGAAAAAGTGTGTTTATGTAGGAATTCTTGCTCAGAGAACCAGATGGCCAGCACTTGCTTTTTCTCAAGTTTTATGGATATATGTTCAAAACTAAAATGTATACATCCTTGAAACAAGTGATTTGAGCTTTCATACTACTCAACAGATATTAAAGCCAGAGACTGGCTGTAAACAGTACAAATTTCTCCTTTGAAAATTCCCTTAGTTCTTAAGAGTTCAGACAGACGTGAAAAACCCACTTGTGTCCAATTCTGGTGGTAGAGTATGGTGATTAACTTCACTGACTCTGGAGTTAGGACTGTCTAGATTTGAATCCTAATTAACTATATCACTTTAGGCAGGTTATTTAATCTTTCTGTCTTAATTTCTTCACTGTAAAACAGGGTTAACAGTACCTAGCTCATAGTGGGGTGAAAAGAACATAGCATGATGCTTGGCATATAGTAAATGGTGATTATAAAGTAATCTGAGTATAATAACCAGTAGTTTGCTTAGGTGAACGTTAAAGGAATATGGCACGCTTCATCTGTTTTTCAGCCTGATTCAGGTAAATAATACATTTACAATCAGTTTGTTCTCAGAAGATGGCTTAGAGGACTGAAGTACTTTGCTCTAAGATTGCTACACCATTGAAATTCAGAGAAAGTCAATCTTCAACTGGACAGTTTTCCAGCAAATAACACCCCAAAGGTCAAAACTGGATTGATTCTTAAACATGTCACTTATCCAACACACATGCAGGTAACCCTCCAGACAACAGGATTTAAGGTGAGAATGAATATTTGGTTACTCTGAATATGCCACTATAGGTGAACAGTACATATGAAGATACCCACTGTGCTAAAAGGAAAAGTAAAAGGGTCATCCTGAGTAAAAGAGCAGAGAATACGCATACTCAGGCATATGCATGCACACTAAGTTCTTAGAAATATCTATATTCTCCAACATAAGTAGCAGAAAGAATATCACAAGAAAATACGTTGACCAGTAAGTCAAATCATTCAGACTGCCTCTTACCTCCTTAATCCACCCAATTCCTCCAGAATTGTTTCAGTAGGCATATTTCATTTTACAGAAAAGTGGTAAAAAAATAAGCACACCCAATGATGAGAGGCACTCTAACAACTATAAAGGTCATGTATACATGCTTTAGAGTCAGATAAACCCAAATTCAAAATTGATCTCTGCCAGTCACAAAGGACCACATATTGCATGATTCCTTTTATATGAAATGTCCAGAATAGGCAAATCCATTAAGACAGAAAGCAGATTGATGGTTACCTACCACTAGGGGCAGGGGGAGGAGATGCTGGGGGGATAATGAGGAATGATGGCTAATGAGTACAGGGTTTCTTTTTCTAAAATTGATTGTGGTAATGTGTGCAACTTTGTGACTACACTAAAAACCACTGAATTGCACTTTAAACATTGAATTGTACACGTTAGGTTAATTGTATAGTATGTAGATTATATCTAAATAAAACTGTTATAAAAAAGATTAAATCTCTGCCACTTACCAAAGGTATGACTTTGACTATGTCCTTTACCCTTTGAACCTCAATTTCCTCATATAAAAAATAAAGAAGGGCTTCCCTGGTGGGAAGAATTGGTTAAGAATCCCCCTGCCAATGCAGGGGACAAGGGTTCGAGCCCTGGTCCAGGAAGATCCCACATGCTGCAGAGCAACTAAGCCCGTGCGCCCCAACTACTGAGCCTGCACTCTAGAGCCCGCGCGCGCCAACTACTGAGCCTGCACTCTAGAGCCCGCACGCCCCAACTACCGAAGCCCGCACACCTAGAGCCCGTGCTCCACAAGAGAAGCCACCGCAATGAGAAACCCATGCACCATAACAAAGAGTAGCCCCAGCTCGCTGCAACTAGAGAAAGCCTGCACGCAGCAACAAAGACCCAATGCAGCCAAAAATAAATAAAAATAAATTTATTAAAAAATTTTTAATAAAAAAATAATAAAGATACCACATTCCTCAGAGTGATAAAATATTATATTAAATTGTAAATATAGTTGCTTAGTACAGCACACGGCCATTAGAACTCAATGAATAGTAATGTTTATAGATCAAGTAGATTTCTTTGGGCAACGAAATTATTTCACAGCAGTCTTGTAAAATAAGAGTCACATGAAAAGCCTAAAATAGTTATACAAATGGTGAGGACAACATGAATAGTTCCTCACTAATAAGGAACAGATATTTTCCATACTGAAATCTCACCAAATCAAAACTCACTGAAGACCTATGCAGAGAGCTGAAAGTTTTAACAACGTAGTGGCCTACAGAAATAGAAGTCTGTCTTTCTGAAAAATACCAAGACATCTTCAAAAACCTAGCAAGCTCTGATACAAGAACTGATAACTCTTTCAAAATGAGTTGCCAGACAGAGTGAGACCACCCCCCCAAACCAAAACTTTAGCCCTGTTGTGCTAATACCACAAGAATCATCTTTTAAAAAAATATTTAACTGGAACTGACTCACCATTGTCATTCTGGCCATCACCTTCCTCTGAATTCAGAGTCTGTTTGCCTGAGCTATGTCCTCGCCTTGCAACATGGTATCTCGAAGTAGCAGGAACCATTGTAGAGGGCCCTCCATGATTCTGTACCAAAGAGATACACACATACACATGCAGTTCTCCCTATATAGTCAGAGAAAAAGCTATAAATATTTTAAATTTACTTTAGAATCAAAAATATGTGAGGAAATAATGATCAAGAAAACAGAACATTTTAGCCCATACTTATATAGGCAAGATTATTTGTCCACCTCTACTTCTCCTCTATAAGAACAGCTTAAAAACACATTCTCTGCAATTTTTAAAAGCTCTAGGATGAAAACTCATGTTTTCCAGGAGGGGCTTTATTTGGTCATTTGTAAAACAGCTAAAATGTATCCATATTACCTTCACTTAAAAAAGTACAATAAAAAAAGTAAATAGCTTTTTGAGTAAAATTTTGACCTACTTACAGGTAAAGTTGGATAAGCAGTCTCATCCCCTTCTTCAACTTCATAAAAAGTAATGGTTTCTTCCAAGCCCCTGGGTATCTGTCCATTCTCTGGAACAAAGCTAAACTGGCACTCCTTATTCATACAATGCATCTGGCGGTGACTACGTCTAAAGGAACTTTAGTTTGCAGAATGAGAAGGGGAAAAAAAGGTAAAATATGGTAGTAACTTGTTTCTAATTTCTAAATAACAGTTCAAACATCTCAATGTTGACACTTTAAATTTTAGTCCATATATTTACTGCACAGCAACAAAGTCAGACTCACTCATTTTCTCTTTCAATACTTAAAATTCACTTACCGAGATCTATAAGAGAAGTTATCATAGCTCTGGCAGCACCTTTTACCTGGGCCAGGGTAAAAAGCAACTTTAGGGCTTGCCATGTTGTGCCTGTTTATAAAGCGAGGTGAATCTCTAAGAATAAAGGGGGAAAAAACCAGAACTCTTTATTTACTAGTGCTTGAGTAGTCAGTCTTTGTAGTTAAATAGAATTAACATATCCTTCTAAAAATGACCAAATAGAAAGAGCTTTGCTTTCCTCACTACTGACATTAGGCCTATTCATTTTTTTTAAATTGCAGTATAGTTGCTTGACAATGTTGTATTAATTTCTGCTGTACAGCAAAGTGATTCAGTTATACATATACATACATTCTTTTTTTATATTCTTTCCCATTATGGTTTGGCCTATTCGTTATTGACAGACACAGTGCCATATACATGGCACTCAGCTTGATGGCATTCTATCTTCTAGGATCTCTTCAACTGCTCCATCATATTTTCCTAGACTATGAGAATACAAATCTTCAATCAATTTGACAAGAATTTAAGTATACATCAGTTCCATCCGTTACGCTCCCTTCAGGCAGAGATTATAAAAGAAATCTGAACTATTAAGATATTTCTCAATTCTACTGTAATTCTGCCCAGGAATTATTTCCAATGTCTAAACAGAGATGTACATTATCTTCAAAGTCAGTTAAGACCTACCTGGGCATCCCATATCCCCGACCTTGTCCCTGAGATGAATGTTGAGGGTGAAAATGTTCATTAGACGTAACACCGCCAGCCGTCTGTGAGTAGTGCATTGGAGAATCATGCCCATAACGCATACTGTGCTGAAGCCTGGGTGGGAGGAGGGGGTCTCCCCTGCTGTAAGCCATAGTCATATAAACCTCTTTCCCTCTAATTTTCTTGAACATCTTCCTCCGTTGCTTCATGTCCATCTCTGACATAGCTTTCAAGCAAACAAAGAAGCAATAAGCTTCAAAACCAAAGCAAAAGGTCCAGTGTCTCCCACAAATGTCTAAGACTCTCAGATGTTTTACTTAGGAAAACCATATGAATACAGGGAAGGAACTTCTGTATTTTCAAAGGATGTACTAGGTCTTTCATTCAGAAGGGCAAAACCAGCAAGTAACTTCTGTATCAATGGACATCTCAGCACTACCTTTAGTATAGGCAACTTTGGTCATCAAAACATAGAGTCAGTCATCCAGTCATCTACGTTACTGTTATCCAAAAAATTATATCTATTAATAGACATATTAATACGGCTGCTTCCAGCTTCTCTGGCTGCTTCTATGAGGTGTTTTCCTAGTTCTTTGAGAAATCTTTTCCTTCAAGTTTTAGAATTTAAAATCCACTCCACCTTAAGCTTAAACAAAGTCACCTTAACAGTAGTTCTCAGCCAGGGACAATTTTGCCCCTCCCTTTCTTGAAGCACATTTGGCAATGTCTGGAGACATTTTTGGTTGTCATAACTTGGAGAAGGATGCTGCTGGCATCTAGTAGATAGAGACCAGGGATGCTAAGCATCCTACAATGCACAGGACAGCTCCCTACAACGAAGTATTATCCATCCTAAAGAGTCAGTAGTGCTGAAGTTGAGAAACTCTAACCCAGAATAAGACTTAATGTTCCAGCTTTTTTTTTTTTAAGTGCAATGTAGGTAAATACAAGAGGAAAATAATAAAACCTTCAGCATACAAACCCATTTCTGGGACACAGCCCCAGGAAATTTTCTGGTAACCTCTTCCTTTCCTACTGGGTATAACATTCCCGGCAGGACCAGGTGTCACTTGTGTAACTGGTTTTAAGTTAGCCAGTGGAACAACATACCTTAAACGTAAAGATACCACCATTAAGCCATTGCAACACAGACTTAATTCTCATTTGATACATATACCTGATCCCTCCTGCTTCATTTTCAAGTGTTTTCTACTTAAACCTGTTAACACTAGCTTCCTCATTGAGGTTTTCTTTTTATGTTAAAAAACCTAAGAGCAGTTTGTACAATTTCACAGCTGTCTGTAGCACATATCATGCTCAGGAGGAAAGACTGTGGTAGACTAATTTACAAATAGTTGTTGCCTCTCCTTGAAGAAGGATTATATTTTCTCACCCCATTGACTTTAGGTTTAGTTATGTAACCTATTTTGGCCAGGAAAATTTGAGCAGATGCTTTAAAAACCAGCACACAGTTTGTCATGTTTTCATTTTTTCCCTGCCTGTGATCCTGGCAGCATATGTCTGGATAGAGCCGTTGTCAACCTGGGTCCCCTTTGCTGACCTACTATGAACATGCTAAATGAGCAAGAAATGAACTTTTAAGTTGCCAAGAGTCTTTGGTTGTTAGGGCAGCATTACCTACTTTAATGGTTCTCAAAGTGGACCAACAGCATTAGCATCACCTGGAAACTTGTTAGAAGTTCAAATTCTTGGGCCCCACCACAAACTTACTAAATCAAACTTTGGGGGTGGAGCTCATCAATCTGTATTTTAACAAGCTCTCCTGGTAATTCTGGGGTATGTTAAAGTTTGAGAACAGATGGACTAGCCTATCTTGATATTGGCAGAGGCTCAGTTAGCAAACTAGCTTTCCAGTTAGTATAGTTTTATATCAGAATTCTGTTGTACTTAGTATTTCTAATAAGTTGGCTATTACCCAGGATTTTGAAACTTATGCATAGGTATACTGAAATTTCACACTTCACCATATGCTTTTACAACTCACGATAAGTCATCTTAGGCCAGTACCAGATATAACTTTGGTTCTCTTACTAGCATCCTGGTAATTCTCAATATTACAAAAAGGCATCAAAAGCCAAAGATTTTAGTAATTCAACAAATTATTATATCCTTACTTTTCTGCCAATTCTTCAATGAAGACTGTTACAGAACTGCTTTCATTTCCAACTTCCTGAATATGAGCATTATAATATCTTCCGCCTGATTCCAAATGAACCTGAAAGAGGGGAAGAGACAGTAAGAAAACATCTAGTCTCGAGTCAGATCTGGCTTTTGCCAAACAAAAACACTACTTCTCCTCCCAAGTGAAGTTCAGTATTTACTTATTAAAGCAGTTGATAATCAACACTGCCAGTCCAGTTCAATGGAGGCTGCACATGCTGAAACAGTGTTACATCTAATCACAAGTTTGTAATTAAAATTTAACCAAACATTAAAAAAATCCTAGCATTTTGTAAATTAGTTGTTGAACTCATATTAATGACTAAAACCACAATCTCAGAAAAACAAATTACTGATTCTTTAAAGAAGGAACTAACCTGACATTTGTCTCCCAAATAGTACTGTCTCCCAGCATACTCCATATAATCAGATTTTTGAAGTTCTATGAAAAGAAAATGAAGATTCAAGCTCAACCAAACTGGTTCCTTTGCTGTTTTACATCATTTCATTTTCTTATTTACTTTTACCACAGTGTTTTTGACAATGCTACCACTGTAAGCTAAAATCTGGAGGGAAAACGTCCTAAAGGGTCATTCCATCACTCTTGATGGGTTATTCTTGTGGTCAATCTAAGGAGACCTGCCAGAATAGTTCTGTGCTATAAAACACAAACAGGTGGAAATTGGGAGGTTGTAATCTTAGAGTTGGTCATATACCAACAGGGTACAGTTTGAAAGTAACACACTTCAATTTTTTTAAAAAAGGAAAAAAAAACCACTGTGTAGCTTCTTCAAAGCAATACAGTTTACCCTTGAACAGCACGGGTTTAAACTGCATGTATCCACTCATATGCGGATTTTTTTCAATAGTACTACAAGTACCAAGGTTGTTGAATCTGAGGATGTAGAACTGAGGATACAGAGGAACTGGGAATACTGAAGGCTGACTACAAATTATATCTGGATTTTCAACTGCTTAGGGGGTCAGCAGCCCTAACCCCCACATTGTTCAAGGATCAACTGTGTTTTCATTGTGTTCCACAAGGTATTAACCTCATTCTAGATTATTAACTATACCTAGGTTCACCACCAAGGTTCAAGGAGTTGAATATGAAACATTAAAGGCTACCTTGATGGCAGAACTTTAAGACCTACTTTGATCAACTTAGTTATCTTATAAGGGGAGAGAAACAATTACTTATTTCAAGGGTTGGCAAACTTTCTCTGTAAAGAGCCATATAGTAAATATTTTACAGTTTGTGGGCCATGGGCTTCCCTGGTGGCGCAGTGGTTGAGAGTCCGCCTGCCGATGCAGGGGACGCGGGTTCGTATCCCAGTCTGGGAAGATCCCACATGCCGTGGAGTGGCTGGGCCCATGAGCCATGGCCACTGAGCCTGCGCGTCCAGAGCCTGTGCTCCGCAACGGGGGAGGCCACAACAGTTAGAGGCCCATGTACCGCAAAAAGAATAAAATAAAATTTAAAAAAATAAAAATAAATAAAGTTTGTGGGCCATACAGACTCTTGCAATTATTCAAGTCTGTCATAAAACTTTATGGACACTTAAAATTGAATTTCATATAATTTTCATGTATCACAATACACTGTTCTTTTAATTTTTCCCTGACACTTAAAATATAAAAACCATTCTTAGCTCACAGACCATACAAAAACAGGTGGCAGACTAGATTTGATTCACAGGTCATAGTTTGCCAACACCTGATCTATTCATCTATCAGTGAGGGCAGTCTTGACACATTAAACTTAAGATGAACTTATTTCCACTTACAAGTTTCTGGTACTCTTAAAGTTATCTAAAGACACACAGTCTTTGCACAGTTGAAGTCCCTGATGAACATCAGACTCTAAAAGATCCCTCCCCACTTCTAAACCTATTTGTTTCCTCCTTTGGATGTAAATCATGTATTGAGTAGGCTAAAAAGTACCATATAAACATATTAAAGTGGGTTTTTTTATAGCAGTGGTTTGAAAACACCTGTTATTAAAAAAATTTGCAAAATTATTCTCCTAGATCTGTCAGGATTCAAAAATATCCTGTTGATGTTTCATTACCTTTTCTGCTGTCCAGCCAAACATCAAATTCTACATTACGATAGATTTCTGGATCCAGGGCTTTGAGCACCTTATAAGGGAAGAGCATCTTTGATGGATTTTCTGGAGTCTAAAACAAAAATAATCATGCTACAAACTCACCATCCTTAAGTCTTCATTCTATGAAGAAGGAAGAAATAAGGTTCTTTTCTTCCTTTTTTAAAACTATGTACATATAGGCCTTTCCTTCTTTATTAAAAGAAATAGGACTTCCCTGGTGGCATAGTGGTTAAGAATCCACCTGCCAATGCAGAGGACATGGGTTCGAGCCCTGGTCCGGGAAGATCCCACATGCATCGGAGCAGCTAAGCACGTGCACCACAACTACTGAAGCCCGCACACCTGGAGCCCGTGCTCCGCAACAAGAGAAGCCCCAGCAATGAGAAGACTGAGCACCGCAATGAAGAGTAGCCCTGCTCACCACAACTAGAGAAAGCCCGCGCACTGCAACGAAGACCCAACATAGCCTAAATAAATAAATAAACCTTCATTAAAAAAAAAAAGAAAAGCCACAATAAATTTTACTGTATTTTTTAAAAATCAGGAGTCTAAATAAGCAATATGCAGAAATCTAAAAGGTTATAGATGGCAGAAGGGAAATACTGTCTAAAGCAGCCAATAACTCAGGAGATACATAAATCAATGCAACACAGACCAGAATTAAAGATTCAGTCAGGGCTATTCAACAAGTCTCATCTTAATATGCATACAGAGGTGCAAGTGTTTCTGTACCCTAGACACCTAGACAAATCTGAAAAGGTTACTTCATTTTGGTCAAAATCTGCTACAATTTCCAAAAGAATTATCTTTTTCTTCTGCTTTCCTAGAATTTCATGGTATTCCATACTGTTTCCAAATTACCAGCACTTGGGGGCATACACAGAGATTGTTCTAGTAGTATTTGCCCTATTTAGCTAGTCTCAAACTGAAGGTCTGCTTGATATTAGACCTATACAGGTGGTAAAATTCCTCCTGTTTCTCCAACTAGGATTACTACCTATTTTCTGAGTAAAACAGGAATAAACCTTACTCTCTTTAATGACAAAAAGAAACCTCAGCATCAGAAGACTGATTACAAACTAAATATCTATTGGGTTTCTAATATTACTTTAACTTGAAAACAACAGCTTCTGAAATTTCTCAAGTGTTCAGAGTTAGCTTTGAAAAAAATTTACAATTCCATAGGAACAAAAATTCAGAGAACATTAAGCACACATTTTACATTTCAGATCAAGACTTACACGAAGGAAAACATCAGCTCTTCCCCCACCCCATATAACTAAAATGGACCATCTGACATTAACTAGTTTAAGTTATGATACTGCAAGCCAAGATTATGAAAATTCTTTGCCCTAGAAGATCTCAAACCTTTGCTTCTTCTGTTCCTTGATTGTACCCCTCTGGTATATTTTCAACATTGCAGCAGGCACCCCACTCTTCAGTCCTAATTGAAAAGATTTAGAACAAAGAGCTTTATGTAAATGCAGTAGCTAAGTCGTAAGTCTAATGACTATACCACCATCTAGTGGTAAAGTAGCTCAGTTCTAAAAATGAGGCAAATACATTTTCATCCCAGCATTTACATTTATGCTTCCTTTTTTTAAGTACGTGCTACAAATACCTCCTATATACTTCATACCTCCTGTGGGGACACAATCTTAAGATGGTCACTATGATCCCCACCTCCTGGTGTTCACACTCTTGTATGATTTCCCTCCAAGTGTGCGTCTAACCAATAGACAGGATGTATATCATTACACTATATAAGAATGTAGTGCCTGTCTTGCTGATCTCTCTCTCTTGCTGACTATAAGGAAGCAAGCAGACATGTTCACCAACCCCATGTGGCAAGGAGCTGAGGGTTATTCTGGCTGACAGCCAGCAAAAAGCTGAAGTTCTCAGTCCTACAGCTGCAAGGAATTGAATACTACCAAGAACCATGTGGATCCTTCCCCAAAGCTCCAGATGAGAACTCAATCTTGGCTAAAACCCTCATTACATTCTTGTGAGATTCTAAGCAGAAGACCCAGATAAGCTGTGCCCAGATTCCTAACCCACATCAATTATGAGATAAGAATGTTGTTTTAAGCTGCCAAGTTTGTGGAAATATTGTCATGCAGCAACAGATAACTAATACACCCTGCCTTCCTACTACTTTAGTTTCTGTAAGCCTCAAGTTCTTAATACAAATAATCAGTGCAGAATGAAGCAACTTCTACCCTGATATATATGGTTGCCACCACCCCCCCGCCGCATTCTTTAATACAGTCATCCCTCGGTATCCATGAGGGATTGGGTCCAGGACCCCTGGTAGATATAAAAATCCTCAAGTTTCTCAAGTCCCTCACAGTCAGCCTTCCACCACCCCAGGTTCTGCATGTGGATCGGGAGGGCCGATTGTAAGTTTTAAAAAACCCTCTTTATCCAAAAAAAAAAAAAAAAACAGCATTAAACATTCAAGAAATAGAACTGCAAGACAACAAAAAGACAAGGTTATATCTGACTAGCACCAAGCCTATCTGAATTTCCAGACAGAAGAATCAGGGAGAAATATAAGACAACATCTACTTTATTATCTCAAAGTTTTTGACTAAATCTGTTCAATAATAGCTGCTTCCTCAGAGGCCACAATGTATACTCCTAGTGAGTACCAAAGGCAGACACTAAAAGCTCCTAAAACTCCCCTTTAGCCTGAGAGATTCTTTTCTAGTAGCTGGATGTATGTGTCAAGTAACCACTTTGAACCTCAGTTACCATCTACAAAATGATGGTGCTGGTTTAGAATCAGGTTTTTTTCCCTCAAAGTGTGGTCCATGGCCTACCTCTATCAGAATACTTGGGTGTACTTGTTTAAAAAGTAGATCCCTGGCCCTACTCTGACCTCCAATTTTGAAGGGAGGTCCCCAAATCTGCCTTTCTAACAAGCGCCCTAAGTAATTCATATATAAGTTTGAGAATCATGTGATTATAGTTCCAAAGTCTCTTCTAGCAATTAAAAAACTGATTCTGGAGTCAGACTTGAGATATGTGTCAGGAGGGGGAAATTTCCCCCCTACCCGTCTTGAGTTCTTGTGGCTGGACTAATAATAAAATTGACACAAGACAGGTTAATAGGAGAAAAACAAAAAAACTGATTCTGACTTGGACCAAACCCCCAAAGCCTGAGCATTTCGCAATGCAACATATCTTTTGGTAAAACTTCTCTTCCCCCATTAAAAAACGTATATCCCTGTACATACAAGCATATATACATACATACATGTGTGTGTATATACAGTTGGCCCCTTCATTTCAGCAGGTTCCACATCCACAGATTCAACCAGCCACGGATGGAATTGGTTGAATCTGTGGGCGCAGAACCCATGGATATGGAAAGGGTCAACTGCACATACTACGCTGTTTTATACAAGGGACTTGAGCATCAAGCATTTTGGTGTTTGCAGGGGTCCTGGCACCAATCCTCCACAAATGTCAAGAGATGACTGTGTATAAATATACTAAGTCATAAGCTTGCCAGGTCCCTTCCACTTTCAAATGATACACAGAAACATGATGATCTTGTAGTTGACATCCCCTTTCCCTTTATTACCTATCCTGAGTTGAACTCTTGTAGTCAATACGGACATCCCCACTGCTAGTCACAGCACTGTTCCTGTTCTTCTTGGAACCACTTCGAAACAACTTAACTGCAGTCTTCAGCTCTTCTTCATCCACAACAAACACATCTTTATAGAGAATTTCATACAATACAGCTAAAGGAAAAAATGACCAAAACTCCAATTGTCAAAATAAGAATTTTTATAACAATGTGAAAATAGCTATAACCCAGTATATGAATTCAATAGGTACCAACAAAGTTTTAAAAGAGCTATTTATGGTGGGCCACTCAATTTAAAGATCGGCAACAAATCATCTGAAAGCACACCCAAACATTTATAAAGCCTTCACATGCCTTGACAAACAGCTGCACTTGACTGAAATTGTTTTGAGTACACTGAATCGTAATGACCATTACTTGAACAGCAGAGTAGAATCTGAAGAAAAGAAAAACACATAGAACAATTAAGTGAATGTTAGATATCTTACAACCATGAAATACTTCAAATTAAGTTGCTAATCAGAAATTGATAAACTAAATGAATTTGCTTTTTTAAAAGTGACTTTCAGATTCTACATATGTGATATCATACAGTATTTGTCTTTCTCTGTTTGACTTATTTCACTTAGCATACATGTCAATCAAATCTCAATAAGGCTGGGGAAAAAGTGAGTTTAAAATCCAAATACAGATAAATGAAAGCTGTATTCCACAAACAGATTTTCTTGACAGTGAGTTTTTTTTTTAATTTTTTTAATAAGCGAAAAGAATCTGAAAAAAATATATTATGTACAACTAAATTACCCCACTGCACACCTGCAATTAACACAACACTGCAAACTAACCACACTTCAATTTTAAAAAGAAGACAGTTTTCCAAAATGGTTGTGCAATTTATACTCATACTAGCAGTATATTAGAGTTTTAGTTACTCCAGGTTCTTGACACAATTTTCCATCCTTTTTTATTTTTGTTAATTGTTTGGAGTTGTTTTTGTAGTTCTTTTTTGTTCCTTTCTTCTTCTTCTGCTCTCTTACGAGTTGATAACTTTCTTTAGTGTTACATTTGGATTCTTTTCTCTATTATGTGTGTGTATCTATTACAGATTTCTAGTTTGTGGTTAGCATGAGATTTATATATAGCAATCTCTCTCTCTCTATATATATATATATATTTACACATGATTATTTTAAACTGCTGATCTCTTAATTTCAAATGCATTTTATCAACCCTGTATTTTTACTCTCCTTCCCTCATGATTACTGTTTTTGACATCATATTTTACATCTTTTTTGTGTATCCCTTAATGCTTATTGTGGATATAGATATTTTACTACTTTTGTCTTTTAACCTTCTTACCATCTTTGTATGTGGTTGACTTCCAAAAAGATGTGGTACATATATACAATGGAATATTACTCAGCCATAAAAAAAGAATGAAATAATGCCATTTGCAGCAACATGAATGGACCTAGAGATTATCATGCTAAGGGAGGTAAGACAGTGACTTTTAAATGTCAAGATTAAAATCACTGCTAAGGCAACACTGTGAGCCTCAATCACATTCCTGATAATATACCAAACAAGTCCCGATTTACGAATTTGCAAAAGATGGGAACTTTTACAAATTGAGCAAATAGAATAGGAAGCCTAACACAAGTCAAACGACCCAGCTGAACTTCTAAAAATGGAGAAAACAGGTCAAATACCCCAAATTAGACTATGGGGGGAGGAATTTCATTCAATTTATTCAAAATGTTATCCACTATATTGAATAGCAATATATCAATATGCTATATAGGAGCCTTCCTTAAAGAACTGAGGCACTGAGATGGCTATAAAATGAGTTAATCTCTTAGCTGATTCCTTCAATATCTAGTTTTCTCAAACAACATTCAGAGGTGAGGCTTACTAACCAAATTATTTCAGTAAAAATGCTCCCTGGCTCCATGTGATGAAATCTGTTTATATAACAGGTCCAAAACCTTTTTGAATTTTTCTTCAAAAACCTCTGTCTTGTGTAAAGGATGTAATCCCTAGTGATTAAAAGTCTATTTCATTTTGAAGCCATCTCTGGAAACAACCTGAGGTACTAAAGACAGTTCTCTGTGATCTATGAGAGGATAGTGCCACCAAGTTTCCTTGGCAGAAAATTATCCTAAGCACTCTTTTTTCTACTTTCCTACACTACCCTGGGCTAACTTCTCCCAATGAACAAGTTCTCTGACCGCAGGTCTATTATTCTTCCCTAGTCTTTTTTTGCAATCACAACTCTATCAGTATAATCCATTTCAAAGTACTGAGAGGGAGTATCAAGCTAAAGTAACCCACAATAAAGTTTAAGTTGCAAAGTTTCACCCACCCCCAAGGGGTATTTGCATTTAAGAGGAGTTCATTAATCTAAAAGAACAGTGAGCAGATTTTGAGCTGAGAAGCCTTTTGTACTTTGGACTAGAAGAACTGGGAACTCCAACAAAGAAAGGTTAATAACCAGAGGCAGTTAGTAAGGATTAGTTAAAGGAACCCAGCTAACCAGAACTGATGACTAAATAAGCAGGAAAGAAAACAAAGATGAGTATACAATTTCTCTATTGAAGTGGCAAGAAGTTCTATTTTGATTGGAAGAGGCAAAACTAAGCATGACGGCTTTCATGTTCCTGGTGGTATCTCAACATAAAATAATAATTTTCTCATACATACTTGTGGGTGGTGTGTTTGTTGGGGGTGGGAAGGTGGGATGTAATGGCAGTAAACTAGTTAAAAATGAGGCAGATCTAGATTACTGATGGGGATAAATATCTGAAAAGAACAAGTGACAGAATGTTAAGTATGAGTCCATCTACATAAAAGCTAATAAATGAATAAATACATAGAGAATGAAATTGGGATACCCACCCAAACTTAATAGCTGTTACTTTGAAGCACATGAGATTGAAAAGCATGAACAGAAACTTGACTTTTCACTCTACATTTCCAGATACACGTTTCATTTTGTTTTAAATATAGTGTTTTTCTATTCTTTCTAGATAGAACAAATTGGCTGAGTGAAAATGGCTAGTTTCCAGTAGCATTCACTTTGACACTGGATAACTATGTAAAATGCAGAATTAAGTCAGCTAAAAAGGTGAAAGGTACTAGGGTGAACATTAGGTATTTATTTCTTCAAAAATGTGCTCTAAAATATATTTTATGCAAAGCTTATTAATAATGTTCACTGCTTTTAATAAAGTCATTTTTGAAAATACAAACAATTCAAATATAAATCTTAGGAGCCTGAACTGATACAGCAACTAAGTTTTAGGCAAAGCAAGGTGTCACACAACAAAAGTACCCTGCTGCCACCTGGCTCTTCCATACTTAAATTTCAATATAAACTAACATTCGCTTTGTACATTCCCAAATCAGACATATATACAGTATCCTGTGCAATGCAAATACCCAACTGCTGTTAAGTGTTAGCTCTATATATATGTATGGATGAGACTTACACATGATATTCTCATGGCTTCACACACTAAGAAGGTCTTACATTTTTGTATTCTTATGGTTCCCAATGGGTGATGTTTTCCCCTTAATTAGCTCAAAAATATCTCTGTAAAATGTATGACTCATTTGAAAACAGAGCTGTATAATTATAGGAACTAGGTGGTAGGAATATGGATGTTCACTATACAAATCTTATAATTTCTCTCTGTATGAAAATTTTCAGAATAAAATGTTGGAGAAAAAAATTAACTGCAGGTTTAAAGGTTCCTGGTAAAGATCTAACTGTCTAAATCTCATCTCAGACAATGCTCTGTACAGTTGCTAAAACACAACAGCTAACACGCCTCTTCCTCAAACAAGTCTGATTATGTCACACCTTTGCTTAAAAACTCTGAATTGAGTGTTTAGGGACAATTATACTAATGTCTGAATTTACTTTGAAAGACATCAAAACTTAAGATGGATTGATGAATGGATAGAGGGGTGGTTAGATATGTGACAAAACAAGGATATTAAATATTAGCAGTGGACTAAGTGGTGGGCTTATGGATGCTCAATGTAAAATTCTTTTAGCTTTTCTGTATGTTTGAAAAACCTTCATAATAAAATATTGGAAAAAAGCTTCAATTGACTATTCTGTACAATGAAAAGCCAAATTATTGGCACAGCCTACTACATCCCTCTAGCCATCGTTTCAGCACTGTCTTCCCCCCATCCAGCTACTTGGCCTCAAAGGGTCTCTTGCTTCTATGCCTTTGCATATAGTGTTTCCTCTGAAGAGACTGCCCTTTATACTTGTTAGACTCATTTTTTTTAATACTCCACTTAAATGTCACAACCACCATGAAACTTTCTAAACTCCCTAAAGCACAGTGAAGGGCTTTTTCTTATATGCTCTTTGCATATAGTTGTATTATAAGACATATCACTTCACTGTAGTTATTTACATGTCTGTCTTCATAGCCTCTTGAGCCCTTAGAGGGCAAGGATTTTGCTGTATTAATTGTGGTATCCCCAAAACATAGTAAACTGCCTGGTACACTACAGGGGCTTAATGTTTACTGAACAAATTGGCAGTACCATCAGTAAAATAATTAACATGCCCCAATTTATACTTACGTTCTAAGTTATCTCTTGCATCCTATTCAGTCTTTTCTATTCCTAATGCCACTTGCCTAGTTCAGGCCTTCTGTCTAGATTACTGTAATATTCTAACAGTTCTACCAGTATCTAGTCTTATCTTACCATCAAAATGCTGCCTGAATTTTGCTCCATGGTATGAAACAAGACAAAACTCAAATACTGTGTAATCTACATTCACTAATCAAATCATCTGGATAGAAGGCTTTTCTTAAAAACTTTTTGGAAGAAAAACTGTATGCTAAAAAACAATCTGTGTACCTGCTGAGAGTTCTCAACCAACTAAACAACCTCCTACTATTTTCCAAGCACCTTACTAGACAGTAGTAGCACATTGTCCCTGCACTTAAAAAACTTTCAGACTAATGAGAGAAACAGACATGAAAACATATACAAGGTGATAAACACTACACTTACCTGGGTGATGCTAGGGGAACAAAAAGGGAGGAAATAACTCCAGGGGAGGTGGTAAAGTTTCAAAGGAATTAACATTTGAGATACAAAGGAAAAGAGCATGAAAGTTGGACTCTCTGGACACATGATGTACTAAGGTTGAAGGACAATGAAGCTGGAAAGAAGGTTTGGGACCCTTTAGGTTACTGAATGTCTAGCTTCAGAGTTTGATCCTTATCTTCTAGTCAATGGAGAGTCAATTAGGGTTTTGGGTGTTTTTTTCCTATTACAGAGGAGTGACAAGATCAGGTTTGTTCAGAAAGATAGCTAACAATACTTAGGCTGACTAACTGGAGAGGAAAAGGCTAGTTGTAGAAAAGCTTGGCTTTTAGACTGTGCTTATTTTTTCATTAATTAGGTTTAAAAGGATGATTTCTTAATGATAAGCTGGCAGCATCATTCAATTTTTTATTTTAGTAAACATTCACTTATCTTCTTACCTTGTCTTCATAGCCATTATCTGTGACATGAGTTGGAGGCCTGCCAGGATAGCGATAAAGAATGAAATCCCGACTACATGGGTAGAAAACAAAGATGGATGAGAAGAGATAATTTAGTATATGCAAGAAATAGTTATAAGAACAAAGATTTGTGTTTTTAAACTGCCTACCTTATTCATCTAAAATAACCTAAATGTTTAAGAGGATAAATATTAATTCAACATAGACAGCTAACTGTCCCTAAAGTCCTATGCATTTTTAAAATGTATCTTAATTTGAGGAAAGGAGGAATAAAGAAGATAAATTGCCAATTGTATGAATGTAAGTTTTGGAGGCTCCCATTTATTTAAAGCAGGTGTTGGCAAATTTTTCTTGGTAAAAGACCAGATAACAAACATATGGTTTTTGCAGGCCATATGATCTGCTCAACTTTGACTTTGTAGCCTGAAAGCAACCATAGACAATGCATAAACAAATGTACGTGAAAGCTTTATTTATGGACACTGAAATTGAATTTCATATAATTTTCATATGCCATGAAATATTATTCTTTTGATGTTTTTAACCATTTAAAAATTTTTAAAAAGCTTAGCCAAGAGCCGTACAAAATAACAAAAAGCAGGCCAATTTAAAAGGTTGTCCCTGATTTAAAAGCAACAACTGATTAGCTGCCTGCTCGATGCCTCTTCTGTACTACTTCTTGCTGGATTTAGTGAGGGATGAGCAGACTGCAAAACAGTAACTTGAACAAGTCCCCATACAAGAGGGTTCAGATTCTATCAAGGTATATGCTATCTCACCATCCTAAGAACTGTGAAGGAGTCTACAGATCCAACTCCTTAAATGAACAAGATTCCCACTAGCCTCTAACCCACGTTATATAACCTACAGCTTTCAGAAATGCCACTTTCGCAGTTTTAAAGACCAAAACAGAACTTCCAAAGCAGTAGAGCAGTGTTTTTCAAATTTTTCCACCATTACTGCCTCTCTAAAGAGCCTTTAAAAAAAATACGTTTCTTAATTTCCCTATAAAATTTTAATACTACAGATATACTGTATATCTGTTTTCATACTGTGACCCTTTGAAGGATCATAAACCAATGTAATATCTAATATTTGTTGTCCTCAGGAAACAATTTCTACCCTCTTGGAAGTGATATTGCCCCAATGAGCACACATGCACAAAAGGCACAAAGTTAAATACACAAAAATTCTAAGATAAGTATTCTGACTTTCTACAGGAATAGTACTAGCAGTTCTTAAAGCCCTTTATTCTTCCATTCAAACGGACACAAATGTAGAAGTTCTCCACCCTAAAATTACACCATTGACTTTGCTTAGACCACTTCATTTGACTATCAATACATCAAATCTCAAATATTCCCAATCCTAAAGGGACTTTATTAGAAACCTTACACACACACACACACACACTTCCTCTCTCTTAAAAAAAAAAGAGATCCAACTTACTTATAAATTAGAGAAAGAGCTCTTATTTCCAGATGGCCAGCACTTTCCTAAACATAAACGGTGCATAAAGTTTTTAAAAGCATTCTGTATCTAGGAGGTAAAAGTTTTTGCAAGTTCAACAATTGTTTTTTTAGATGCTTAGCACTGTTGTAGGTGAAGAATTTGTACAACACACTATAACTTGCTTTGAGGCTTGGGATACTGTGATAGTTACTTATTAACATAAACTTATTCTGAGAAAAAATTGGACCTAAAGATCTTCTTAGTTAGCTATTAAGTAACAAGGACAGGAATATGGGAGATTTAAAAGACACAATAAAAATGTAATTAGTGTAAGAATACGAAGTTAGCAGGGTATTTAGTAAATGTGTTAAGTCCAGAACTATGGAATTAATTTAATCACATAAAATTATTTTTAATATGTTTAGGAATCTTACTCCCACATAAAAGGAGGATAACTACAAATCAGGGGAATTGTTTAATAAAAAAAATAATGACCTCCTAGTAACATTCATTGCCACCCCCTCCCCCATTAAAGTGAAAAGGCTTGGGTTAGTCCTGTTCCCAAGTAGTGTATACTCTTTCACTAGTCTATAGATGATAAAATTGTTAACACACAATTTTCAATATTCAACACAAAACTACAGGTCAATTTCCAGCCTCTAAACTTTTGCAAGAACTATTTGATTCAACACAGCTGGCTACTTAAGAAAATAGACTGGGCCTAGCTAAAGTGACACAGCTGAATGATATTTAGGCTACTATTCCAAATACTCTGAAAAGATTAAACCCCCATATTTGATCTTACCTTGGGATCTCCCAACCGTTCCAGGTATTTCTCAAAAGATCCCTCCACATACTTCAAAAATAAAACAAACTTGACTTAACCAAATACATAGCATTACTGAAATCTGATTATATTGCTGTTGTTCAGCTGAACAATTATGGTATTAAATGACTACTTTGCACAGCACCTCAAGAAGATTTGTACATACACAAAAGTTGAGTGGAGAAAAGCTGGACTATAAGACTATCTCAGGAACTGGTCCTGGCGTATCCACATACCAGTGCATTTCATCAAACAGTATGCCTTTGGAGTTTCTTTTGAAATGCCAACTTAAGTAACGACAATTTTCATAAATCAAGCAAGCACAATAATTATAAGGATTTCAAATTTGACAGCAAACATGCATTTACAAAGTTAAACTGAGGAACTTTAAAAGGAATTTCACTAGTTTCAAACAAAGCACAGGCAACAAGGGAACTTTCTGGGTGATGGAAATATTTTGTATCTTGACTGCAGTGGCAGTTGCTTGACTATATTATTGCCAAAACTTAAAACACTAAACTTAAAATGGTGAATTTTATGATGCGTAAAATATACCTCAATAAAAATTAAACTCAGGAAATATAATATACATTTAGTTCCATGCATGTATATCACTAGACTTAAAAAACCATGTTAATTTTTCTCAGTTCCCTTTTTAAACAGTTTTGAGGCATAACTTACATACAATAAGCACACATATTTAAATGGCACAAATAAGTTGACTTACGTACGCACCCATGAAACAATCATGACAATCGTGATAGTAAATATATCCATCACCCCCGTAAGTTTCCTTGTGCCCCTCTATAACGTCACTAACCCCCAAGCTACCACTGATCTGCTTTCTGTCACTACATATTGACTTGTATTTTCTAGAGTTTTATATAAAGGAAATCATACAGTATGTACTTTTTTGGGGAGGTCTGGCTTCTTTCACTCTGCATAATTAATCTGAGATTCATCCATGTGGTTTTAAAATTTTACAGACATCTTTGTTACTCAAAATGTGGTCCTTGAACAACAGCAAGCATCACTCAGGAATTTAACTGCTGAAATCTGGGGCCCCAGCTCAGATCTAGTGAATCAGAATTGTTTTTTTAACAAGATCCCCAGGTGATTTGTATGCACAAAAATACTTGAGATGCACTGCTTTACACCATGGTCTTGCATTTGAAGTAATTTCACAAATAATCCTTTCCCCAGGTGTGGTGACCGCTAATTAACTTCAAGGTAATAAGCTTTAAAATCAAGAAGGCTTCATATACTTTTAAAATTCACAGAAACCTGTTGAGAAAATTAAGAGTAAACCTCGAACAGCAGGCAAATACCCATAATATAGTCAGGAGAACAAATAGTACTGGAAGGGCTAGGAATGTTTAAACAAAAACAAAAAAAAACAAACAAAAAAAACAACAGCCACAGGAAAGGGCGCACTTCAAATCAGACCTCGATAAAACCTTATTTTGTTAACAAGAATTCAAATACTTCAACGTATACGAAGATGCCTTCTAAAAGTTGTTTTAAAGTTAATCATTAGTGGCAGAGCTCCAATTACCAGTTTGTCACATGAAAAAGACATGTTCAGGAATAAGTTGTTTCCTTAGAGTTAAGTTTTACAAGATTCTTCAAATTGACTGGCTGACGATCACTGTGCATAGAATTAAGAAAGAACACAAGGGGTTCCCATTTATACAAATTTAAAAATACACATTTAAAAATATTAACATAGCCAAACCCCTTGTGAACTGATTACTTGTTTAAGAAAACTGTGATATGGATAACAGTCACAATGTGACTTTTTGGGTGTGGGGGGAAATAAATAGTGGGAAGGATAAAGATTAACTTTCTTAATTTTTAATTAAAGTACAAAACAATCTAATTCTGGGAGGAGATTCAGAAGCATGCTACTAGCTAGGAGGAAGGAAGCCAACTGAAAATTAAATATTTGCTATTGAGAGGAGATTGCGGGATATAATATTCATACGTAGGTACTCAAAATTCATTTCCTACCTGCTACATATTCTATGAGCAACTCTCCCTTGGGTATGTATTCTACTTACAGACTCAAAAGTTTGTTGATTTTCTCTCATATATGAGACACAAGCCTTCCTGATTTCCAAGTGATGGACCTGGCTGCAAAACAACTAAAAAGAAGAGAAAGACCAGCTCACTGTCAGCAGTTATTTGAAACAGAAGCTTCTAAGTTAAGACTATGAACTGGACACTCAAGTCCTCCCCTTATCCAGAACATATGTAGGAAACTGGGAAATTAAGTCCTGATCTTACTAAAATCTGTTTTTGTCATCTTTAGCGATACAGAAGAGGTATGATTCTGTCATGCCCCCCCTTTCTACTATTATAAATTTTTCCTTAGGCATAAAATTTAGAGGAAGAAGGTGCTGCTTATAAAGGATCAAGATACATTTCAAAGTTTTCTTTAACCCCGTTACTTTACCTCTTACATTCCAAAGTGGCGTTTAGAAAACAGAGAAGATAGCAAAGGCACAGGAATATATTTGAACTAATCAGCAAAGGCATGCACCAAGCTAATAAGTAGAGAGACCCTGATGTTTTAAATAGGGAAAAGGGAATTTCTGTTTTGTTTGGGTGGGCTACAGGTCTTCTAGCTACAGAACTGTGCCAAATCTCAAACTCCAAAAACTCAGCATAGAGAAGATTTATTTGTTTTCCTTTTACCTGCTCCGAAATAGCCCGAAAGAGGCAAGAGGCATCCTTGGCAGTCAGCTTTCGAAACAGCCCTAAGCTGCCTAAGTATTCATCCATTGATGCCTCATTCAGAGACTTCTGGCCGCAGTACTTTTTCCATCCTTTATGCATTGTGCACAGGGGGTGGAGTTGGGGAGGGGGAGAAAGTAACACAGGTGTGGCAAGAAGGAAAAGGAAAAAGAAAAAGAAGGGTGCAGGTAGGAATGGGTAGCAGTGACAGGGCTTGCTTATGCAGGTATCCAGAAAGCAGCCCAAAGTCTAGGCACGAGAAGGCAGTTGGAGTCAGCGCTGCACAATCTTGGCACTTCTCAGGAGCAGGAGAAGCAAAGGGCTGGCCCAGGATAAGTCGGGACCCTGTGAAAAGAAGAGGAAGAGCCGATGCTCCTAGGAATAGAGAACTTGACTTGAGAAGGAGACGTGGGAGCGAGAAGGAACTTGCAGAGCTACCTTGTTGGGGAAGGGTGGGATTAACCCAACCAGCCCAAGGTTGAGAGAAGTATGCACAAGCAGCTGAGCTTCGGGACCAAAAGGAAGCCGAGTCTGCAGCTTAACTCAAGGCAACTGCTGCACGAGGTTGCAAAGGGACTGCAATAAGGCTCAGGTGTGTATGATGCAGCCCAACCCATATTACATTGCTTTAAGATCTCTGCCCGAATTTTCAACCAGTCTCTGCCCAAGTTCCCTGCTCCCATCATAGTTTCATGTAGATGAGAGGAAAAAAAAATCTGAACATAATTAACTAAGTAAGCTTTTGTGTTAAGACTATCTTAAGAAACAAAGAAAATGGGGGGGAGAGGGGGACTCCCTTGATCTAAAAGGGCAGAGGTCACAGTTCAAGCAAAGTAAAGGGCCAAAGCAAGTTATCTGGATATTTCAGGTATGATGTTTAAGTAATCTCATTTATTTCTCCTAAATAATAATAACCCTCTGCTGGGACCACAGAAATTAAATCCATTAGTTATGCTAGAAAACACTGATACAATTCTTGACTAATGTCTCCAAACTACCGTACAACATTTACAGAAAGACAAATTGCAAAAAGTGTCTTTCTCTGAAAATGCAAACAATGAAAATTTAAAATGAAGCTTAATGGAAGAAATATCTTACCCACAAACTTGCTAATAGGCTACATTTAAAATGCTGTGGCACCACACTAGAGGTGTTGGACATGAGAGGCATGTTTCAATGTTTGGGGCACTTTTCTGGAAAAACTGCTCTTAATTCTGAGAAAACCAAAGTAAATACGACTGTACTTTTTGTAAGGTTCAAAAACAGCACTGGTCACTTGTATTACTTGATTCCACTGTCAAGTGTTATTTAAACGCCAAAATCCAATTCCGTTCTTACTTTTTCTAAGTGTTTTAAGAAATAAATAGATCTAAAGCTGGCTTTGGAGAAGCTGCAAAATTAAGCTGCTTTCAGAATTGTTTTTCTGGTATCTGTGGCTCCAGTAGTAATCATGACTGCCTCCAACAGGAAAAGCATCAATAATCAATTTTACAATTTAGGAATGAAATAAAAGCATGGTAGAAAAAATAAAATCTTGACTTTCTTTAGCATGCCAATTTGAAATTACCTTGACTAATTTATTTTTCAAAGAAACCAAAACACTGGTGCAGAAGTTCTGAAACATGGTTTGGGAAGAGGGATCACCATCTTTGTTTAAGACCATAAATTCACTGAGAAAAACTGAATTATAGTGAAAAAGTTAATTCATTTTTGGCATTTTTTACTTGTAGAGAAAAATATAAATTCTTCATATTTATTGCTATTTATACTAAAAATATGGTATATAAAGCTTCAATCAATATTAACCCATACACTTCATTTTGAAACAGGGAATAGAAGAAGGGAAAACTGGGAGAGGGAGAGAGAATCAGAAAATAGGTGAAAGAGCAGGAAACAAAGAGAAGAAAAATTAGAGGCAGGAAGACAAAGAGAGATAGAGGAAAGGGAAAGTAAACACACAAAGAAAACACAGAAAGAGACCCATACAAATTCAGTCAATTGATTTTTGACAAAGGTGCAGGAGCAGCTCAATAGAGAAAAGATAGTGTTTTTATCAAATGCTGCTGGAACACCTGACATCCATATGCAAAATAAGAACAATGATCCTCAACCTATACCTCACATCTACAATAATTAACTCAAAATGGATCAAAGATCTAAATGTAGAACAAAACTTTTAGATGAAAGCATAGGAGAAAATCTTCAAGACCTTGAGTTGGGAAAAGAGAACTTAGATATGATATAATAAAAGAAAAATTGATTAATTGGACTTTATCAAAATTCAGAACTTATGCTCTGCAAATGACACTATTAGAGTGAGAACACAAGCCACAGACTGGAAGATACATGTCTGACAAAAAAACTTTGTATCAAAAATATATAAAAGAACTCAAAAGTCAACAATAAGAAAAGAACAATACAATTTAAAAATGGGCAAAGATCTGACTACACATTTCACCAAAGGTATAGGAGCGCCTAATAAGCACGTAAGAAGGTGTTTAACGTCATTAGGAAAATGCAAATTAAAACCACAATGAGGGCTTCCCTGGTGGCGCAGTGGTTGAGCATCCGCCTGCCGATGCAGGGTATACGGGTTCGTGCCCCGATCTGGGAAGATCCCACATGCCGCAGAGCGGCTGGGCCCGTGAGCCATGGCCGCTGGGCCTGCGCGTCCGGAGCCTGTGCTCTGCAACGGGAGAGGCCTCTCACTGCTGTGGCCTCTCCCGTTGC